ACGGCAGCAGAACCGCCGGCCAATATAAAACTGTTGGGCGGAGCTAGCTGTCATTGCTAGCTCCGCACAATCATTTTCTATTTACTTTTTTTGTACTTTTTAAACTATTTTTCTGTTCTGCTCGGTCCGTCTGATGGACCGAGCAGAACAGCCGAGCGGCTTTTCACTCACTGCTGTTCGGCATCTATAAGAATAGGCTGAACAGCAGCGAGTAGCCTGCCGGAGGTTCGGCTCAGCCGATCCAGATGTTGGATCGGCTGAGTCGAACTCCTTCTGCACTTCGGGTCAGCCGAACATGCTGAGCATGTTCGGCCGACCCAAAGCCATGCGAAGCAAGCCAATGTATGGCTGATTTCAGGGGTGAAAACAAGGGAACAAAAAAAACAAATGTAGTCCTTTGATCCAAAAGAGGACTAAAGCCAAAAAAGTTTGGCTTAGGTTCTGTTTAAAATCTGTGCTCTGCTTGGTGGTAGAAACATGGTGTTGAAGAATAATAATAATACTTACCCAACAGTGATGTCAAAAATGTTGCTTCCTACGGAGCTGGAAACTGCCATATCTCCCAGGCCTTTGCGTGCAACAATAACGCTGGTTATGAGATCTGGGATGGAGGTGCCAGCAGCTAATATAGTCAGCCCCATTATTTCTTCAGTAATGCCAATAGTCTCTCCCACCTAAGGCCAGTCATGCAAATAAACAAAAGTTAGTTAGATGTATATAGTTTGTATTGCCCCCCTTGTAAAGTTGTAATTACATTACAGTATTAGTGCAGTCTGTACAGAAAACACACAGAAGAGCTAAAGAATTATGCAATCACTTTATTGAAGTGGCCACGATTACATTTCTGAACATTGTGGACATAGGGACACCTTGAAATAAAAAGATCTCATTAAGGGCAGTGGCGGGAAGTGCAGCTGGGGAGTAGTGTAGTAAACCAATTACCACCATTGTAAGAGGATACCTTACTGACCAGCAATGATATAAGGGTATTTTCACTATCAGTATAAAGGGTTTTAGGTGGTCCTGTCTTTTTTACTGCCCACCAATGTACAGTGGCTTCATTTATGGGGCCTGACAATTGGCCATTATTATAAAAGGGGTGAAAGCAAGGGAGCAAACAATTTTTCCCCCCCATCATATGTTACCCAATTTAGATTGCTTCTCCTTGGGAATATATGCATAAGCTTTACATCCAAACACTCTGATGTGCCCTAGACTATGCTTCGATCCATGCCACATTTCAAATAGGGTACTTTCAATGGCTTTTGATGGTAGTCTGTTCTGTAGGTATGTTGCAGTCATGACTGCTTCTCCCCAGTACTTCTTAGGTAGGTTGGCATCCAACAGCATGCATCTGTCCAAATTCTGTTCTGCTACACCATTTTGTTCATGAGTGTATGATGTGGTGGTCTGGTGTACTAAGCCTTGCTTCTTCAGGTAGGATTCCACTTCCTTACTGATGTATTCCCCTCCATCGTTGGTGTGTGTTTAATTCTTGGTTTCTGTTGGAATTTGTTGCTGGACATGGCTACAAACTCTTGAAGTTTTTTGGATGTTTCATTCTTGTGCTTCATCAGATAAGTTGTTGTGTACCTGTAATAATCATCAATGAAAGTCAGTAGATATCTGTTCCTGTCTGATGTGGGAGTTTTTATTGGTCCGCACACGTTGCTGTGTATGAGCTCCATGGGGTGGGTGGTCTTTCTTTGGGTGGTCTGTAGAAGTGGGGTTCGTGTGGCCTTTGCTTCCATACAGCCTTTGCATGTCATAAGCATTTGGCAGGGCAGTACGGTTATATCTTCTAATAAGCCTATCTTTCTGTGCCCTAGTCGTCTGTGCCATAGATGGATACATTTGTTGTGTTGATTATGAGTGGTTGTCTTGACTTGTTCGTCTGCTGTGTTGACTTTGTACAAGTGTTCATCTAATTTTCCTTTTACGAGGATTTGCCTATTGTTTTTGTATTGTATTGTATTTACTTCATGGACCAGATGGTGGAGACTCCTACCAGAAAAAATGCCATCTTAGATCTAATTGTCACTAATAATGCAGAGTTAATTGAGGATATTGTAATTGGGGAAGTACATTTTGAACTGTGAGACCATTATTAGCAAGGAATTTCACTGATAGAAGGCTTCTGTCAAGAAGCCTCTCAAGCAGCCTCTGTCAGTGGTGTTGCGCGAGCGTTCGGGCATGCGCATGGTTTGGCCCATGGAGCCAGGCCTGTGCAGGCATCTCTGCGCGGACGCACGCGCGAGCGTACACTCGCAGGTGTGCGCACGTTCTACGGACTCTGGTGCCAGAAGGGTATTTAAACTGTGCTCTCCTGATGTCCAGTGCTGAGTGATCGTCAGCTGTTGTTCCAGATCATGCTCTCCTGACCGTTGCTTCAGTTATCGACCCGGCTCGTATTGACCTTCCTGCTGATGTTCCTGCCCCAGACCTTGTTCCTGATCCTTCTCTCCGTCTGCTGTCTTGGTACTTCGTTTGTCCACATAGTTCTGATCCTGGCTTTTCTTGCTACTACGACATTTCCTGCTGTACGGTACTGCATTATCCTCCTGGCTTCAACCCGGCCTGCACCTGACCTTGATCCTGCCTGTTCTGCATCTCAGACGTGCGTCTCCTGCGTTGCTGCCTTGTTATCAGGACCAGCACATTAAGCCAGCCTGCAGTCTTCAGGCACTCATGCCCTTCTGTGCTCTGACCCCCCTGTTCTGCTATTTAGGGGTTTTAGGACCGAAGTTGTCAGAGAGGCCTCCTTAGTCACTTCATGCTCCATCAGGTACATGACAGCTTCCTTCTAGGTCTGGAACATACAATACATTTTTCACAAGGATACTCTGCTTGTCCCCTGATCGTGTGATACAGTTCAAGAATCCTTGACAGTTACCTTCCGCAGTAATACTTTTACCAGTTTGCTAGGACAACTTTGTCCTTTGAACTGAGTCTTCCTTAAAGAAAAGGCCTCATCACTAGTCAGGTGGCTTCTATACACCATCGCGGGGTATACTGTTCTGAGTTACTTTAAAGGTAGCACTCCATGATGTGCCTGCAGTTTCCTTTGTGGCTGCCTTATCTCTTTCTCTTGCAGGTGCCTTTTGTTTTCGCTGCTCAGTTTTCCAGATTGAACAGACCTTTTTCAGGTGATCAGTCTTTTTACAGCGAAAACACGCTCTGGTTTCTTTGTTTTGCTTTGTGCTCTCATGCACCTTAAGGGCTTTCTTGTTTTCTCCCTTGTGCATATTTTCTTTCCTTCTGTCATATTCATCTATTAATTTTCCTGTGGTGTAGTCTAGTGTTAGTTCCTGCTCAGGTCTGGTTTCTAGAGCATTAATAAGAGCACTGTATGACTCTGGAAGGCTGCATAGAAGTAATGCCACCACGTGGTTATCTTTAATTTCCTTTCCAATTGCACATAGTTGTTCTACGATTTCCAGCATGGCATTCACATTTTCATGCTTTTTCTGGCTTTTTTCTAGCCTCTTTATATATAGCTTGTGTAGCAAATATAGTTTACTGTTTAGGTTTGAATGCTCATGCAGTTTCTATAATGCAGTCTACATACCTTTAGCTGTATTCTCTTTTCTTACGTGGATGAGCTAGTCGTCTTCCACTAGCAGACTTATAACTGCTTTTGCTTGCCTGTTCTTTTGGTCCCATTCCTACGTGGGTCCATTAGTGGGTCTGTCTGTACTGTACTTGCCAGGAGTCGTCTTTGCTTAGCAGCATTTCAAGCTTTAACTTCCATAGCTGGTAGTTGGTATTGTTGAGCTTTGCCATTGCAAACTTCATATCTAAACTGCTTGCCCTCTTTCAATAGTTTGGATGCGGCTCTTGTTGACTTACAGTGTTCTGTTTAGTGCCTAGGCCCCTTGGTTATGTGCTTAGATAAGGCACTGAGATCTTGAGGAATGCTGAATTACGTTTTACTTGCTTAGGAGAATATTACATTAGGATACAGCATTATACATCACAGGGAAAGAACTTCCTGTATTTATCATAGATAAGCATGAACATTCAGACTAACATAGACTAGCATTGCACTACAGCACCATCTACAGCTCAAAAGACATAACAGTAGAATGTCAGTAATATGCTGTTGTATTTTGAACAAGATGCACGTGTCAATTAATTATTTTACAGGATTTCTATAACAGTTTGCACAATGTTTTAGGATTAAAGGAAGACAGTACAGTTATAATACAATTTAAGACAAGATGGTTCGAGGACTGCTTGTGAGAGCTTACAATCTAAAAATGAAGGGCAAGTCCACCGACCAGGTCTTAAGGTGCCAAAGGTGTAATTGGGGTGGGAGTGGTTTGCATAATTCAAATCAGGCCATTTCCTGACATCATCCTTCTGTATTTTCAGATTTACTCTATTTATAGAACACAGCCCACAAATAATACAGACATCTGCTGCCAACTCAGTCTTCCAAGCCTTGAAGGAAATAATCTACTTTTAATGTAAAACACTTGGACTTACCTGATGTGCCCACCAGACCATTAAATAAGAAAATATTGCAATCCAGGTGATCGATCCAAAAAATGTTACAGGGAAAAACTTTCTTGATGACTGTAAAGAAAAGGGAGAGGCAAAGCTACATTGTTTATCATGTCGTGTACTGCATAATGAAAGTGCGTAGTATAATACATTAAGTATTTTTAATACTGAAATGCTTGCAGACGAACTGTTACCAAACTGTAAGTAATGACTAAAATTTACCAAAACTATGCATGGGCCATAATACCAAACATGCTTCAGAAAAAATAAATACACAAAGAAAAAAACATGTTTTTGTTTTTTTCTAGCCAAAGCACCTATAATAAAAGGTGCATTCCTTTTTAAATTCTGGTACATTTGGATAAATATATGAATGCTGGTTCCTTCCTTTGACCCCTATGTCACTGCAGGACTCAAGAAGCAACCAGTGCACTGTAAGGAACATGGACACTCCTGGAAGTGTCAAATGCTGAAGAGAACTTATGAGACTGCAGCTCTGATAAGGAAGAGAGGCAGGAGACATGGGCCACCAGAGAGGTGATTATACACTGTCTTCAATTGCAAAGAAATGCTGGTTTAAAACATTTAGAGAGCTGACAAGGTCTCTTTAAAGGGTATCTATGACCAAAAACTACAAATATCTATTTCTATATTGAATTCCTATCCCACTCCTAATAACCATATCCAGTCTGTAAACTTACTTATTGAAGATACTCATAGTGTATACTTCCTCAATGCTCTGACACAATTTCACTCAGCCCTGTGAATATGCACTTCATTCTGTCAGAACTCTCACAGAGCCTGCCTTCTGTACTACAACGTAATGTCTGAACAATATAAAATTATCATTGCTTGCTGGAAACAATGCATTATGGGTAGTCTTGAGAGATTGTGATTGCATCACACCAAGCAGCAGGGAAAGAGACGCAAAGCATGCTGGTAATCTTAGAAATTGTTGAAAGTGATGAGCAGACAGAAGGCAGCACTCACTACATAAAATAGATTTTTTTTCAATTAAGCTTTGATTGCATCATCAGAAACAACTCTAGTATGTATTCCTTTTACAATGCGGATGTTATAACAGGATAGTACAGGTGAAACTCGAATAATTATAAAATCGTGCAAAAGTAATTGCAGTAAGTGCTGCAAAAGGGGCCCAAACCAAGTACTGAGTACATATGCATGCTTGTACTTTTCAGAGGTCCAATATTGTTCTATGTACAATCCTTGTTTTATTGATTGCATGTAATAATCTACTTTTTTGAGGTTGTGGATTTGGGGTTCTTGGGGTTTTCATGAGCTGTAAGCCATAAGTGTCACAATTATGACAAATCACGGCTTGAATTATCTTGCTTTGCATGTAATGAGTCTATCTCATATATTAGTTTCACCCTTTAAGTTGCATTAGTGAAATAAATGAACTTTGCACGATATTCTAATTATTCGAGTTTCACCTGTACATGCTGGGACTTTGCAACTCCTTTAAAGATAACAGGATATAACATCATGCACATTTATGGGACTGGTGTATGGTTTACATTGACTGACATGATTTTCACAGATCCTTTTTAAAAGATTTTCTCCTTCGAATGTTCATAAAGCATCATTAATACCAGCCAGGGACTTGTTGGACAGCATCGATATACAGTATACTATACACACTACACAGCTGTAGATAACACGCTTCATTGCGCATTTGTAGCTGAATCTGTACGTTTATAATTATCCCTTTGATGTCAGATGCTTCTTTTGTCTTGTCCCATTTATGCATGGTAAAGTGCTCTTGAACTACTCTCTGATTACAAGGATCTTATTATAGACTAAATTAGATAGAAGAATACACACACACACGCATGTATATTTTTTTTATTATTTAACTGAATTCAATAATAAACACATTTATTAGCAGAGGGATAAGGAAAAACAAAGGGTGACCAAACTGTACCAAA